ATGGTATTACTCATGCTCTATCATTCTCTTTTCCTCTTTCCCTGAGTTCCAAAGAGTAGTTCCACTATTACAAACATGTTCTACGTATGAGTTCGTGTATAATCATCCTTGTTTTTGTGGCTGTAACCATTTTAGAAATGAGAGCTCCAGAACTGGAGGTGTGGTTCAAGCAGTAAAGCTATGCTTGTGTGTTATGGAAGCACAAAGCCCTGAGCTCAAACTGCAATCCCCCCCGGCCCCCCCACCAAAAAAAAAGACTGTGCCGGGTGCCGGTGGCTCACGCCTGTAATCCTAGCTACTCAGGAGGCAGAGATCAGGAGGATCGCGGTTCAAAGCCAGCCCACGCAAATAGTGCCCGAGACCTTATCTCAAAAAAAAAAAAATCACAAAAAGGACTGGTGTCAAGTCTCAAGCTGCAGGCCCTGAGTTCAAACCCCAGTATTGCAAAAAAAAAAAAAAAAAAGAAAAAGAATGAGAGCTCCAGTAACACAAGTTCCAGGGGTAAGGAGTTCAAATTTCTCCACTTATCAATACTTAACAATACTTAGTCTTCCAGTCCATAACATGTAATGTCTCTCCGTTCATTTACAGCTTCTTATATTTCCTTCAGCAACATTTTACTTTTCACTGTACAAATCTTGTGTTTTTTAGTGGTGCTGGGGATTGAATGCTAGGTAAAGTGCTCTACTACTGAGCTACATCTCCAGCCCAAATATTTCACTTAAAAATTTTTTTTTCCCTAAGTATCTTACTCTTTTTGATAGTATGGTGAACAGAATTGTTTTATTTTTTTTTTTTTGGATTGTTCACTGCCTATAAGTAGAAATACAGTTGAGTTTTGTATATTTATGTTATATACCTTATGAACTTGCTGAACTTAATAGCTCTAGGGTTTTTATGTGGATCCCTAAGATTTCCTACATAGAGGACCAAATCTTCTTTGAATGAAGACTGATTTACTTCTTCCTTTCCAATCTAGATAGATGCTTTTTTTTTTCTTGCTTAATTACATAGTAATGCCTTACCTCCAGTACAATGTTGGATATAAGTGGTAAAATCTTATAGGGCATTTAGTCTTTCAACATTAAATAGGATTTTAGCTGTAGGTTTTGTCCTTTATTAGGTTAATTCCCTTTTATTCCTAGTTTTATCATAAATGGGTGTTGGATTTTGTCAAATGCTTTTCTGTTTTATTAAGATGATCATATTGGGTTTGACCATTAAGATGACAATATTTCATTAATTGATATTGGACTGCTATGTTAACCCTGAGTTCTTAAGAGTAAATTCCACTTGATTGTGATACAGACTCGCTTATGTGTGTTACTAAATTTGATTATTTTATTGGAGATTTTTCATAAATTTTTTGAGGAATTATTGGTCAGCAGTTTTCTGTTCTTACGACGTTTGTCTGGTTTTGGTGTTAGGGTACCACTAGATTCAAAGAATTAAGTTGGAAAGTGTTCTCTCCCCTATTTTCTGGAAGAGTTTGTGAAGGACTTATTATTTACATGTAAATGTTTGGTAGAATTCATTATTGAAGCCATTTAGGCCTTTGCTTTTTATTGTGGGAAGATTTTAAAATATCAATTCAACTTCTTACTTGCCGTAAATCTGTATATCTATAGATTCTCTATTCTTGAGGCAGTTTCAGTATTGGTTTACCTAAATTGTGTAATTTGTTGCCATAAAATTGTTCTATTCCCTTACAATCCTTTACTTTCTATGTGTCTTTTTTTGTTTGTTTGTGAGCCAAGGTTGGTCTCAAACTCACAATCCTCCGGCCACAATCTCCTGAGTGCTGGAAGTACGGGTGGGTGCCACGAATCTTTTAATTTCTGTAAGGCTGATAATGACGTACTCTCTTTTGTTCTTAATATGACTGCTGAATTTTATTCCTCAATTGAAACAATCATACGGATTTACCTATTGTATTTATTAATGTTATTAGATTAATGGAATATTTACTAAACATACATTCACTTCTAGAATATATCCATCTTGGTAATAGGACTTAATTTCTTTTTGCTTACAATATTTACATCTACATCACATTATGAATGGACTTACTTTTTTTTTTCCTGCTAATATTACCTTTCTTAAGTTTAGTCAGTCATACTAGTTTTATACCTAAGGTAAGAATTCCCTTTCCTGGAATATGATTAGTTTAATAAAATTAGAATGCTATTTGTAATATTTGGTATAAGTCACTGACAAAAGTGACAGGGTGCTCTTTTACTAGTAGATAGGTTTTAAATGATTTTTTTCATTTCCTTAATGGCCACAGCAGAAGTTATATTCAGAATATTTGTATTTCATGAATACTGGCCAGTCAGAACAGACATGGGTGGCACTACTAGAACAGGGTCTTGGGAATGTACTGTGTAAGGGGAACTGTGGTTACTGGATAGTGGAAAGATTGCCCTGGGAAGTCAGAGGGTACCAGGGGATGACTTAGGGTAGGGACTTTCAGTCTTTTTTTTGGTGCTATGAGATGAAACCCAGGGCCTTGTGCATTGTAGGCAAGTGCTCTGCCACTGAGCAGTATCTCTAGCCCCTGTGAACTTCACTGCTTTAACAATGGCTCTGCCAACCCAGTGCTAAATGTAAGTCATATGAGTTCTGTTTCTTCTTTGGTTAGTTTTGCTCAGGTATACTTTTGACTCAACTATTTCATCAACATCTTCAATTATATTGGCATAAAGCTGGTCTTATCATCTTTCTATTTTTTGTAATATCTCCTTTTTCACTGCTAATATTATTTGTGTCTTTGTTTCTCTTGATAAGTCTTGCCACAAAGCTGCCTATTCACTTAGCTTTTTCAAAGAAAAGACTTTTTAAAATCCTCCATTGTATTTTCAATTTTATAATCTTGTACTTTCATTTCCATATATCTACTCTCATTGGGTTTACACTTTCTAGTTTTTCCAATTTTTTCAGTAAATTCATCAATTTTCAGTTTTCTTCTGATTTCACTATGACTCCTTTTATCCAAGAATTGCTTAGGAAGTCAGTTCCTAAGTCTCCAAATATGGAAATTTCTATCTTTCCTCCCTCCCCACCCCGAGACGGGGTCTCACTATATAGGCCAGCTGCCTTCAAGCTTGCAATCCTCCTGCTTCACTCTTCCAAGTGCTGGAATTACAGGCATAAACCACACACACCTGGCTACACATGGGAATTTCTAATTAAACTGTGCTGAGTTCAAGGAAAATGGTGATAAAATCATGTCATAAAATTTCTTTTGTATCAGTTGAGACCTAGCTTTTGTATAACACATGCTCAATTTTTGTCCCTGTTCCAGGTTGGCTTCAGAAAATATATTTACTATTTGCTGAGAGCAGAGTTCTAAGTACATCTAATATATCAAGCTTATTAATATTTATATATCTTCTACAGCTTTATTCATTCTCTATCTTATCTATTAGTGAATATTTTGTTATTGATGTTGATATTTTCCACTGAGATGGAATTTCTCACTTTTTCTTGTGATTCTGTCTAGTTTTGGTTCTTACAGTTTTGGCTTTGTTTTTAGGTACATACAAGGGAAGAATTAATTTATTTTCTAGTGAAATAAGCCTGTGACTATACAGTACCTTTTTAACAGTAATAATGCTTTTTGCCTTAAACTTGTCTGCTATTATGTGGTTGCAACTGTTTTTTTCTGATGGGTACTTACCTGGCTTTTTTCTTATTCTTTCATTCTCAACTTTTCTTATTTTGTGTATTTTAGACGTCCCTTATAAAGAACATATAGTTTAATTTTACTTTTTAAGTCACTATCTTTTAACTGGTTAGTTTGGTTCATAACATCTGTTTGACGTTTAGGTTATACGCCTATTATATTTTTGTGTTTATTTATCTGTTTGCTTTTTTAAAAAAAACCCACTCTGCCTCTATTGGATTGATCATGTTTTATTAGCTTTTTACCCTTCTACTAATTTAGAAGTTATCACTATTTTACTATTCAAATTTTCTTCCTAAATAAAAAAACCACATTTACCTCTAAATTTTAATAGGTATGTCTATGTACATATAATCAACACCTCTATCCCTCACTCAATTATGTGTGGCCAGAAATTTTTAATTAAGAATATCCCCTTTTTAATATGACTTCTGAAGAGTACTTCAGAAATCCTGATGTATTACTATATTAACATTGTACAACAGTTAACCACAGGCATATTTTCATTATTTCTCAAACTTCAATTCTTCAAATAATCAATTTCTCTATAAGGAAATATTTTACTGAAATGCTACTCAACTGAGGCATAATTGACATTTTAGGTAGGACAATTGGTTCAACTGTGCAAATTATCCTGTGTACTACAGGATGTTTAGAAAATATGGTCCTTGCAAAATAAATGACAATTGATACCCTCCTCTCTTCTCCATGGTAATGATCAAAACTCCCCATATGTTATTTCCAAACATTCACTTCGGGATCAGTAGCACTCCAAATGAAAACTACTCTTTTAATGCATTAAACCAAAGTGCAGAAATTACAAATACGTTTAGAACTGAAGGCAAAAAATGAAAAACATTCTTATTTCACAAAGGAAATAGCAAAAATATTTTCCCTAAACTTTTAAGGAAAATTCACTTTGTAAACCAGTTTCATCTCCAACATTTTCTTACTTCCTTCCCCCCTCCCTTCTTTCCTTCCTTCCTTCTTCCCATGCTTTCTCCTTATATGTCATTATCCTTCCTTCTTTCCCTCCCTCTCATTCATTTATCCATTTATTTTTGGAGTGCTAGAGATCAAACGCAGGCCTCACACATGCTAGGCAAACATGCACCACTGAAATATATACTGAGCTCCACAACATTTAGTTACAATATATGACTAAGAAAAAAAATATATATATATATATAACCAAAGATATAATCACTTTTCAATTTTTTCTTAAAGTCAGGTTTTCTTCTTGAGGCTTGAACAGAACACGAAATTTGTTCATCATTGTTAAAAAAAAAGTTTTAACATTATTATTATAATCCTATCATGGTCTTCTACTCACAAACCTGTTAGTGTCCCAAATAATGACATTTCCATCAAATCCTGATGTTACTAATAGTCTTGTATTAGTATCATATTCGATGTTCTTCACCCAGCTAGTGTGACCATGTAAAGTGCATACTTTGGTGTTCAATTTTCTCAGATCCCACAGTGCTATTGTAGTGTCATCAGAGCAGGTTGCAAACAGCCGGTTATCAAGAAATCTACAAAAGCAGAAAAGAAAAACTGGTTCATTTAATCTCTTTTTAAAGAAAAACAAAGGACTACAAACTCATTGTATCAACCCAGTGATTCTTTCTTTTTCTTTTCTTTATATGGGGGCAGTACTGAGGTTTGAATTTAGGGCCTCAAACTTTCTAGGTTGGTGCTGTACCATTTGACCCACATCCCCAGCCCAGCCTGGTGATTCTAATATGCAATTAATAGTAAGTATAATTTACATAACCACAGAGTCAGTCTACTATGATTTAGTAAGAGTCACATTGCAATTTCATCCATTTCCTTTAAATTGTTGATTTTTATTTGGAACTGGAAATAGGAGTAGGTATTTGGAGGACAAGGATAGAGAGAAGGAAAAGAACTTGAGGATCTACGGGATCCTCAAGGAAATGAAACTTTAATAGAGATTTTGAAGATTTGATTGCTAAGGGGAACAGTGTATTAGCGTTAAACGACTATAAATAATGAGAAATATTTGCTAACAAATATATCTGATTATTATCAAATAACATCTTTCTATTTAGAATACATTTACATATAAAATTCCTATATAAATTTGCCACAAATTTATTTCTTTTTGAGACAGGGTCTCACTATGTGTAGCCCAGGCTGTCTGGAACTCCCTATGTAGCCCAGGCTGACCTCAAACTCATGATCCTCCTGCCTCTGCCTCCCCAGTGTTGGAATAACAGACATGCATCACCATGTCCAGCTCCCATAAATTTTAATCTGCTAATTCAAAAGCATTCCCCAAATAATCTCACTTTTATTAGTCAATCAAGATTATAAGACAGATTTAATTAAAATACTCTGTAATTCATTTTATATCATTTTTTTATCATTTTGGATTAATTTCTCAATTATTTGTGAGAATATTATTTTATACAAATGCTTAAAAAGATAACAAACCTACCATTTACACTTGAATTTCTGTCTAATTTCACATTAGGATGGTGTCTTTAAGTTATGCTGTTACATGTAATTTAATCTTTTGCAGAAGAAATGAATTCTGAAGTTTATTCTAAGAAATAATTATACATAATTCTTGTCAGAAATCAACCTCGATATCCACTAGTACCATCATGACCTTCCTGAAACTTATCAGGCTTTAAGATTCCAGGTCCACCTTCCTCTTGCACCTTGATCTGGCTAACTCTTGCTTTCTTTTTAATATTTAGTTTTCATTCCCTCCAGGAAGCCTTCCTGCTCTATCTTCTAGCTTGGGGTAGACAGAAATTCTGTAAGCTCCCAAAGCAAGCTATACTTCTATCATAATACTTACTACTACAGTATAAGGAATAACTTCACATAGCTACAAATTCCTTAAAGTCAGGGAGAAACTGCCTTGCTCATGGTTTTAGCTGCAGTACTGAACACAAACAGTGCCAGCCACATATGCATCCAACAAGTATGTATTAAAAAATGAATGAATCAGGGGAGTTCACCACCTAGTGGAGAAGACATTATAAATACATAATACATACATAATTGGGTGGGATATACAAAGGAAAGAGGGTGGTTAGGAAATACTTCATGGTGGTGCCATTTAAACTGACTGTAAAAGATGAGCAACTCCCTAAGTGGCCAAGAGGTAAGCAAAGGCAGAACATGTGCGGGAGTGCTGTGTGGGGAAAGCAGAGACAAGTGGGAACAACACTGGCCTATTCCACAGTGATTGCCAAGAACTCTTTTGAACTATAAAATACATTTCCATTAAAATATTTTTTAAAAAGAAAAAAACAATTCATCCCCACCCAGCACAATAAAAAGTTAACAATTTATTTAAAAATGGAAAAAATTCATCACCAAAATAACCACTGCTATTGATTAGCCACCATTAATTTCTCTTTAAACCTAATACAATCTGAATATTTTGCCATGTCATTAAAAATCTGACAAAATATTTTTTCATTTTTGTTTCTTTTTAGGTACTTATTGATATCCCTTTTTTGGTACTTATTGATAACCCTTTTTGGGGGGGAAGGTGGGAGGAAATTCTGGGGATTGAACTCAGGGCCTCAAATCACTTGTTTGTCTGTTGCAGTGCTAGGTATTGAATGCTAAGTACAAATTCTAAAACTGAGCTACATCCTCAGCCCAACAAACTCACTTTTAATGGATGAATGCTGTTCACTGTATGAATGGATCATAATCTTTTCTTTCTTTTATAAACTGATATGCAAGCAACTGTTGGGTATCTGGATTACTTATAATATTTTAATACTAAAAAAAAAACACTAATTAGCTGGATGTGGTAGTACATACCTTAATTCCAGCACCTGGGAGGTTGAAGTAGGAAGATCACGAGTTCAAGACCAGCCTGTGCTACATAGTGTGACTGTCTCAAAAAATGAAACAGTACCGCCCCCAAAAAAGAACTAAGATGAACATCCTTATAGCTAATATTAATCATATCTCAGTTTCTCTAAGTACATTCCCAGAGAAATGAATTGCTAAGTAAAAATGACTTTTTAAAAAATATAAGGCTTTTGATACATAGAGCCAAACTGTCCTCTAAAAGTGCACACCAATAGATTTTTCCACAAGCAGCTAGGAGTGTCGGTTTCCTCAAACTTGCCACACAGATTTTTTTTTTAATTCTGCTAAGTGCTGGGGCAAAAAGTTATCATCTTGTTTTAAACGGAAACTTTAGTTTTCAATGAAGTTGAACTTTTCTCGTATTAGAAAATTATAGCTGGGCAAATTTTGTCTCAGTTTTTCAAATACAGTATGTTTCATTTGTTTTCTTTTTGCAGTACTGGGGTTTGGACACAGGCCCTCATGCTTGCTAGGCAAGAGCTCTATCACTTCAGACATGCTTCCAGCCCTTTTGGCTTTTTATTTTTCAGGTAGGGATTTGGTTTTGCCTGAGACGACCACTATATTCCTACCTCAACTGTTTAGACAGGATTACAGATGTAGGCAAAGATGCCCAGGTGTTTTTGAGATAGGGTCTCACTAACACTTTTTTTTGGCCAGGATGGCTTCAAACTGCAATCCTCCTATCTCTACCCCCTGTATAGCTGTAATTATAGGTGTGTACCACCATACCCAGCCCTGTACAAAGGGGTTTTACTGTGATACTTTCCACACAATCACATAATATACTCTGATCATATTTAACTGCTCTATTACTCCCTTCTTAACCACCCCTTTAATAGCTTTTCATAGGTTTCATTTTGTTATTTAGATATATATTTGGATCTTTTAATGTATCTTTATGCTTGTTTATTATATAAAAATTTTAATTCTTATATCATCAAGTTCATTTTTCTCAAACAGATTTACCTTTACTGATGATACTTTTAAATGAAACTAGTTCAATAACTTCCATGCATGACAGGAATTACATGACTGAGAAAAATACATCCAAAAATATTTTAAGGCTGGGGGTATAACTCAGTGGTAGAGTGCTTGTGCTTGCCTCGCATTCATGAGGCTCTGAGATCAATTCCCAGGACTGCAAAACAAACCAAAAAGGGTCTTACTATGTAGCCCAGGCTGGCTTCAACTAGCAATCCTTCTGCCTCAGCCTCCCAGGGATTATAGGCACATGCCACCATACCCAGCTCAAAAACATTTTAAAAATACAAAAAGCTACTAAAAATTCAAACTTTTAAATTGAGTATCTTCATATATGAGAAAATTAGGGAAAAAAACACAAAAGATTTTTTTCAATCTACAGAAAATACTTAATGCAAATGTGGATTAAAATCTTAATGGGGTTATATTAAGTGGGTCAGAATGGGGATCACAGAGGTCCATCTGAAGAGTTTTAAAGAAGAGTAAGATGATCCCATGGAAGTTTTAAGATCTCTGAGGTAACTAGGTTCTCAAACTCTTGGATTTTCATAAAAAATAAAGTAGTATGGGGATTAGCTTTTTAATTTTTATTAATAGAATTAATTAAAAATAACTTGCATAAACTAACGCATTGTTTTCAGCACCAAAAATGTAGAAAAATATAATCTTCAAATAAAAGGCAATAATTTTGAATTGAGTTTATCTTAATGAAAAATCCAATATTTTTTAAGTTGGCTCTTTTTTTTGGTGGTACTGGAGGTTGAACTCAGGGCCTCAGGGCTTGCTAGGCCAGCCCTCTACCACCTAAGCCACCTCATTTTTGCCCCAAAGTATTACCTGCAGAATTACTGGTAAAAAAAATAAATCATAGAATATTACGAGTATAGATGAGGAGATCAGTTAAAGCACATAGGACAATTTTCATCCCCAAGTTAGTGTAATGTGAAGTACCAGAAGGGTCTGTGGAGATGTGGTCCAGGCCTCTTAAACTAAAACTCAGTATGATCTAAGTTAATTATTGTAAAATGTTTATAAACCCACATTCCCTGATAAACAGGTGATACTCCTTCCACACGGTGTGTCTAAATCATAGAACTTCTCAAATATCCCCACAAAACTCCAACATATGGCTATAAGAAATCTGGATAAACTGAGTTTTACATTATCAAAGAATAACTGGTAAAAGATAAAAGCAATTGAAAGTGATTACTCTTAAATTAAAATAAGTACCCCCATTTCATTGTCCAAGTTAAAAAAAAAACAGTATCATTGCATATCTTAAAGAATTAAACTAAAAATCATGAGAAGAACCCTTCCTCATTTATTTAACTATATGCAAATTCTTAGCACAAGAATGACTTAAATGCTGTTTTTTTGTATAATCTTTCCAATGAAATTACAATAGAATATAACATCCTTACTTCATATTTGAGTTTGAAGTATCAATGAACAAATGTCATTTTTGTATACTTTATTAATTTCTCTAAGAGACTTTCCTTAGTCCTGTGAGATAGTCACATAATTCTATTAAGTGTCTATTGTGTCATTATTTCTATCACTTCCTTTTTCTAATCGATAACTTGTCTAACTCAATCAGACCCTCATTTGCCAATGATTTTTTTATGTAACTTGACTGCTTCTCTAACATCACTTTCAGGGTTTTGTGAAATGCTACATCCTT